GTGGATAAGGTATGGAAGGCGGACGGAAGGTACAGGTGGTAGGTAGACACAGAAGATACAGCCAGGGAGCTTGATGCAGCCGCTCGCGCATCGAGCGGGAATGTCGGGTGCTACCAAGCTGCTCAACTGTCCTACCCGTCGTGTGGTGAGAGCGCGCCTGTCACACCTGCCAGAGGATTTATGCCACGGCCGAGAGGAGCGCAGGACGCATCAAGAGACTAGGAGCATTCCGATTATGACCGAAACAGTCTTCATCACGAGACCTGGAATTCGTTCGCAGCTCCTTTTTTTTTTCCCTTCGTGACTGCCCAGCAAAAATCTGCAAGCTGCAGCCTGCACCTGGACTGGCACATGCAGTGGGCTCGCACAGGGACCTTCCCCCCCTGGTGTCGCCTTCCGGCCGGTGCCAGACTTGTCTTGTCCGTGCCTTTTCATCCGCTCTTACCCCTCGAGCCACGCCCCGGTTCGATTGCTATGGACACTGGTTAGTCTGCTTCTGCTTCTGCTTCTGCTTCTGATCCCGCATCTGAATCTGCTCCGTGCAGCAACCAGACCCCAAATGGAGGACGCCAGAAAATGGACAAAGGACGGATTGTCGAATCGAGTCATTTGGGTCGCCAATCGCCAAAGCCTCTCCACCACCCACAGGCCAATAGTATCACCGTGTCAGCTGCCTCGGCCGTCCTTTTTGCCGAACCGCCTGGGTCGTCTCTCCCTGCTCGGCTCCACAGGCCCCCATCCTCCTGCAACCACGAATCCCCGGGCTGCCGTTGAGCAGAATCCGAGTTTGCGGCCCAGGTTCGACGGCGCCGCTGTTCGTTTGTGGCGACTTGGACGCCACGGGACGATGATGGCAACCGTGAAGGAGAAAAAGAACCAACACAGCGGAATAGGTTATGGGTGGCCTGATTGACGACTCGCGACACCTGCTAAGTGTCTTGGAACCCGAGGCTTCGACTCTTCGGCAGTGCCGATAGGGCCGACGGAACACCAACCAAGCAAATACACTGACACGAGCATCGAGCA